GTTTCGCAGATAATAGACTGGAGCGGTACCTGACTCATTCTCTGTCAATAAAGCTGTCTGAGTTAAATATCCAGGCAAATCTGAAAATGCTGATCCCAGCAAGATTAAAAAAAAGTATCAAATTATAGTGAGAAATGTAATCACTTATACTTCTGGAGCTAATATAAATTTGAAGTAGGAGGCTAATCTTTGCTTGCCTGAGGAAGGAAGAGAAACACTTTTAGTTGGAACAGTAATAATTTTTGAAATATAATTCTGAAGTAATTTTCTTTGTAATGTGTAGAGCCTGTGGATGGTGGGATGAATTTGGGATTAATGCAATAGGTGTCTTTAGAGTTTGGGGTTGAATGAAGAGACTGCCTCCGGATTTGAAGTCAGTCCATTGGACTCTCTCTGGCCCAAGGAGACTGACTCTTAACCACAGAAAAATTTACATCTGTAAACCTCTGGCTACTATAGTCTCCAAATGCTTGTTCTTTTTTACACTCTTCCAGATGCTGTAATTTATCTTGGAATGGACCATCACCAGATTTTATTTTCTTCCCTGAAATTTTGGCAACCAGACAGCACTTTGTCTAATCAGAACCACTCAGAAGTTTGACAAACCTTAGACAGTTGCAACTACCAGCGATAAACCTTTAATGTACAGCAATCAGAGTCTTTCATGGGTGGTTTTAGGGATGGTGTTTGCCTACAGAGAGAAACACCACTACAAACCAAGGGGAAATACGAGGGTTTAATATTTTGATCGGAGAATTTTCGAACTAGCAGAGGAAAGAGCTGAGCTACTTTGTATGATCGAATGTGTTGCGAGTACATTGAAGTGAAATCAAGTGCAGGATATCTGTCTAAGGGAAATGTCAAGCTATTGTAAATGTAAATATCCTTTCAGAATGTCTAAACGGGGGAGAAAAAGAGAGAACTTCGAATTTATCTATGCAAGAAGCTGGACATAGTGATGATTAGAAGATCCAAGATGGGAATAACTATGGTGACCCAGCAATGAAACAAGATCTTTTGAATATATTTGATTGATTCCCAGTGTTAGGCCAAGTTCACTGCCTTCTGGGCTTTATTCTTTCATTTACCGAATGAGCAGGGGATTGAGGACAGATTGGGTGAGGAAATCTCTAAGGTGCACTCTAAAATTGGAATCATTTAGAAGACATGAATTTAGTGGAATTCTTATGACTGTTTCTTACATTTGTTTAATTGCAAGATGTGCTGTAGACTGTTATATGTAGGTTCAAATAGAAGTGAGATACATGCAGAGAAATTGTTTCTGCTCTGAAAATATGCACAAGATTTACTCAAAGAACATCTTGAACGTGGTTGGATTTTCACATTGGTATCATTTGCTTTTCTAATGTGTATCCGTCCATAGCTTTCCCCTGGTGGAAAGAGAAATAGAATGAATAACTTTGGGGGAAATTAAAATCACTGCCTGTATAAGTGTCTAGACATTGGCTTTTCAGATCCTGACTGGGAGAACCTGGCCTTTCCTCCTTTTGCTCCCCAGTGTTTCCCTTTTCCTCCTTGTGACTCCCCTCTCTCCCTGTTTACAACAGGATTATTCCTGGCTTCCAGCCCTTGTCCATCTTGTGGCTCCACTCCCATCTCTCTGGCTATCAAACTGCTGTTGATCCATTAAGCTCAGGTTTCTCCTTCAGAGAACTATGACCGATACTGCTCTCCGTCTGTACTGCTGTTTCACATGCTTTAGCACTGAATTTTGTCTGACCTTACTGTTTTATTTGTTGCCTTCTCTCCCCCAATTGGTAATATACTTCTCTAATGCACTGTACATCTATGTAGAGTATAGCTCAGTATTTGGCTGTTTTTCAGGGGGAGAAATGCTCATTCTCAGAGTTCTGAAAACCAAAATGGCATTTTGAAATCTCAGTGTTACCAGCTATTAGCCACTGGTATAAAGCATAGGGATCAATTCCAGTGATAGGATATCCTAACGCAGTTGTGTGTGCGAGTGAGTGTACTTTAAGTAGAAAGAATGCCAGCCTTTGTCAGACACTTTTCTCAGGTCAGTGCACAACCGGGCTCCACGTTCTCGGGTGCTGTGGAAGAGCAATGGAAGAGCAGCTGTTTTACAGCTGGCACCACTCTCTCTGGAAGTCCCCTGAGGAAGGAAGAAAAAGGCAGCAGCACCGGGAAGGCGCTGCAGCAGACATGGCCAGATATGTCCCTCTGGGTCAGAAGGGGCTCCTTTCTCACAAGATTTCAAGTTTTTTAAATAATGATCACCTAGGATGAGGATGGGGATTATGATGTGAATATTTTGAAAGTATGGAGCTTCTTACACCTCATCCTATTATGTTTTATTTACAAATGTTTACATATTTTCTATCCCATTATTCCTTATGTACTGATAGTTAGGCTTAGCTATCTTATGGTGCAATAACAAATAAACCTTGAAACCCTAAGGGATTAACAAAATAAGTATTTGTTTTTCTCTCACTTCCCAAAGGATTGGGTGGTTTTCCCAGTGTCTCTTCATAAAGGGATTTGGAGGCTCAGTGATGACCTTACAGTATATTTTAGGAAAATGTGTGTCTATTCCACTGCCACTTAATGATTATATAATCAGTTTCCTGATGAATAAAACAACTAACAGCATGAGTTCTCTTATTTATGCATGTAGATCAGCTATTCTTCTTGTTTCCCTCCCACCCCCAGAAGTTTTCTCATGTTCTATTCCTTCATCCTATAGTAGTAATTGCAGCAGAGACTTAAGGCTGAGCCTGGAACAGCAGGGCCTTCTGGATCACAGCAGATGGGCATGGAATCCTAATGTGGAATTTGTGCTCTGAGGAACCTAAGACTTACGATAGCTGGTCATCTTTTCATCCCAACTCTAGAGCAGTAGTACCTGAGAAAAATCGGTGCCACAATAAATATTTTTTGAATGAACTCACAACACCTCTTAGCTTTGTCTTTATCATAAAGCTAATTTTTTCCTATTATTTTACCTGTGTAAAATATTCCCTAGCTTTTCCTATATTTGCAGTGAATGCTTTGAAACAAAGCTCTGAACTTCACCTACTGTAATTTGACATTGAAAATTGGAGAATGTTTTCCAAATTCAGGAATTTACTCCCCCCCTTTTTTGTACTGATGTAACTTTTGAAATATAAGTAGAAACTTAGTGAAAGCATCACATCAAATATGTAAACTGCAAAGATTTTAAAAAAGAGAAATAGATGAAAGAGACCGAACTGAATTAAAATCCATTTAGTGTCATTTTTCAAATATCACCTGAAGCACTCTGTATAGTCATTTCAGCTGCTTCAAGTATTACAGCCTCAGGCACAGTGTAGTATAGGGACAATAAAGGTAAGATGTAAATTGTGGACAAAGAAAAATGTGTTTGTTCATGGTTTAAATAGAATATTTCTGGACAACTTTTCACTTGGATGGCCCTTCTTAAGTGGCTGTTTTTGTAGAGTTGAAAGTGGGGCTTGCAAAACTGTAAATCAGGCATCTACATTCACATCTTGATCCGCAAATTACTTATTCATTTGCTAGAGTAAAGCAGATTCATGAAATCAATACGTTGGTTATTCATTTATGCCTTATGCTTTTTTTTTCCATTTGGAAGAATCTATAAGGCAAACTCTTAACATTTCATTGAGCTAAAAGATGAGAGCATATTTCTAGCAAATGTCTTCAGTTTCCTTCCTCTTGTGTTTTCCTGTTGTATGAGGATCGCTCAAGGCTATGTTCTCCATTGGTGTGAGATCAGTGGGTGGTTATGTTCATGTCAGCCATCATGACTTTCTGCAAATATTTGTGAAAACAGGCTTGTGTAAAGTGGTCAGGGATGAGCTTAGGTGCTACATTTGTGAATTAAGGACTGGAGGTTCTTATGTATTTTAAGAAAAAAATGTTGATTTGGAGGTCACAAATATGAAATTGAAGTCGTATAATCAATTTCCATATAAAAATTATAGCGTTTCCATGATGAATTTCAGATTAAGGTATTAATTTGCATCAATATTCATCCTACGTTGAGGTTGTTAGGGGCTCCAAATAATTGCACCGAGGAAGATCTGCTACTTTAATGCTAACCCTGCAGACATGCTCTGGATTCTGTGTTATGCACATTTACCTGAAATGTTTGTTCTTGGGTAATGAATGGCAGCTGTGTTCTCTATGATGTGCTTAAATACTTTCACTTTTATGAAAAATATCACTGTCAGATTGTTCCTCAAAATGAAATCCCTTTCCTGATGTAAAGCTGTGAACTTTTGAGTTTCACTAGGGAACAGGAAAAGCATGATGCTGACTGTGAGCTCAGTATACACCTGAGTTTGTGATGAAATTAAAACAAGAATTAATTTCAAGTCTGCCCCTGGTGAACCTGGAGATTTTGGGGAAACTTGGGTCTTTGTCACACACAGCCCAAATGACAGTCAAAATTCAGCCTAACTCTAATTATTTAGCTCTTTTATAGCCATTCTTTGAATTACAGTCTTAATATCTGTAGATCTGTGACAACATGTTGGTCTTAACACTTGAAATATGTATTGGTATAATGAAGGGAACTGGATATTTGAAATATTATTTTCTATTTTTAATATGACCTTGTAATTTATTTTGGTTATAATTAACATTACGAAAGTCTTATGCATGGTGCAGCTCATTGAAAGCCCAAAATGTACAAAATAAGTTGAAAAGAAGAAACAGCTGTCTTCAAGATGTCTAATGTTCTGAGGGCTACATGGTGTGCAAAAGCCTACAATCTCACCTCCTATATAAATTTCTCGAATTCTCCTTAACATTGTCCAGTTGTTCAAACTGCTTGTAGTTTCAATAGCTTCTGTTATTGTTTTTTTCTGGGGAGGAAACTTGTTTTTTTCTTTAATTTTTTTAAATAACAGATTTGTAGTCACTACCTGGTTTGAATAAATCAAGCTAGAAATATCCTGACAGTGCACCGAACAAGACCTGTGTGTATAATGTGAGTTCTTTCTTTTCAATTTTAGAATCAACCTTGTCCTATGTTAGGCAGCTGGAGGCAAGAGTAAGACAGCTGGAGGAAGAGAATCGCATGCTGCCCCAGGTGGGTGACTTCCAGAAGCTCATAGCTAGTCAGTGTCATTTGAGTTGTAGCATTTTATTTGGAGTTTGAAGTCTCAGTTACATTTTCTCCTTGAAATGATAGAAATCATTTTGTAAGTAGTCATTCATCAGTGTGGAGTGTGATTACTTTTCATAATGACCATCCTATTATGCAGGTTCTTAAACTGTGACAATAAAAGATGCAGATGTCTGAAATAAGAATGTAAAGTAATTTTGGAAGGAAGAAGAAAAGAAAAATGAAAGGAAGTAGAAAGTACTTTGATAGCACTGCTCATATACATTATGCATGTCGTTGGTGAAGATAGAGAAGGGGCTTGTATTTAAAGAAAAATTTTGCTAATTTGTGAGGTAGGGAAAGCTTAGGTAGATTGAAGCTGTCATGTTTTAATTAAATTAGCACGTACTAAAGTTCTTTGTGATATGATTGAACCTTTCAGCACAACAAGGTGATGACAATAATGGACAGTTTTTACTTTGGGGCCTCATTTCTTTTCCCCGGTGAATGTAAAGTGTGGCTTTGTCTGGGGTGTACTGCCTGCCACATATTTTCCTTATAAAATTATTTCCATGGCCAATATCTTGGTGAAATGATGTTGGTCCTTTGAGGGGGTGGTTCTTGGGAAATGTTCTGTGAGGAGTTGAATAAATCTGATTCTAGGTTGCTTCCCTTTACAGACATGTAGGCAGCAACGTATTTTAATATTTTATAAAAGTGAACTTTTTAAGTATTTGGTTGCTATTGTTCTTTCCACATTTTGGTGATTATTTCTATTTCATAAGTGACTAAGGGAAAATTAAAACTCAAGTAGTTTAAACGGAAATACAAAGACCGGTTACAGTGCAAGAGGAGATATAGAAACATTAGTGCAAATATGCTTAGGAAAGACATTTTAGGTCTTTTTTTAAATCCTGTTTTGTTTTTTTTAAATGACTTTTGGTCAGTAATGATGATTTGGGCTATCAGGTACTGCATGTGAGAATGCCTGTCTCTTTCTTCCATTGGACAACCATCTGGCTAGAAATCATGAAGTTATATGAATCTACTTATCTCCCTTCTCAAACTACACATATGTTAAAACTCATGATGACGGAAAGGGTCATTTGTACCATGGAATAAAGTATATGTAGAGCTTTTTTTCTTTGCTCTTCTATACTTTTCATTTTCAAATTTTCTTTGCCATTTTTCCTTTTATATTGGATTCACTGTATGAGTGTGCTAGGGCCCTGTTCCAAAAGTGAAAAAAATATAATTAGTTGATTATGGACACTATCAATGGTTATACCATCTGAGAGGCAACTGGGAATGTAAATGAAAAGAAAGAGAAAAAAGAATGTTTCTTAGTTTTCCTGTGAGTGGAAATGCTAGCATCAACATCAAAATGCTAACATGTGTACTATCGTAACGAAAAAGAGGGACTACAAATGTGAAAATGATGACAAGATTGATTTCTAAAAATCTGCAAATGTGAGTGTTAGTGGTCTTGAAAAGAAATCAGAAGTCTTCACCTATACTTGATATGTGTGTATAATTAAATACATAGATAGTACTTACACAGTTAAGCGTAGAAGAGATTAGAAAACTTTTCAAGGTATAAAGTGTTCAAGCATATGTTTTTAAAATTCTTCTACTTTCTGTCAAAAAACATTGTTTTGTTTATTTCTCCATAAGAAGTGGCTAGGAAAGATTGTGTTTTATTGAATCTAAGGTGTTACTGATATGAGATGCCCCAGTATCATATGTATGATAAAGAGGAAAAAAAAAATATGTCAATTATTTCTAGTCAGATTCTTGCTAATATCAGAGTTGGTAAAATGGAAAAATATATAAAATTAAACAGCTATGTTTGTGCCCAAATTACTTTAATGCAAAGAAAAATCCATTGTTTTAAATAATATGCAAAGAAAACGATAGCTCTCTTTTAGTTCAAAAGCAGTATTTCCATTAAATTTCGGTACTTGTTAGTGTTTTCATTTACAGCAAAAATACATACAATAGAGTCAGCACTTGCAATTACTGGGTAGAAACACACTGAAATGAACAGTGAGAGTCATAAAAGGGAATCCTTGGGGAGGGCTGGGACTGGGGCTGGAAAACACACAGGCTGTGCAATTTCTTAGACGTCACTGGGACTGTTATAAATAATTATGTGATTTCCCTGCAGAAGCTATTTCTGATTGCATGATGCTAGCTGATTGGCAAGGTCAATTCAATGCAACAAGCTAACGTCACTGCATAAAATAGTCTCAATATCTGAAAACTTGATTTCAGTTAAGAGCTTTTTCACTGTGCAGTTGATTAGAAGAAATTCTTTTTTGTTCCCAAGTTTTAAAAAATATGACCACTTGTCTTTGGGTAAATAGGAATAAGAATATAGTTGGCAATTGACATTCCAAGTATATCAAATATCTTTTGTGGCTGTGTCCAGCTTCTTTGCTGATAATTTAGTGTTTAGAATAATTATGTAAAGCATTTTCCCGGAGGATAAAATCTCCTCCGTGCTCATTTTTATTTCTTATATAAAATTGCATATAATGAAAAGAAAGTCACAACTTTTCCCTAGCTATGCATATTTTAAAATAAGCGAAGTGAGTGTCACAAATGCTATGGATTTCTCTCTGGTTAGATGCAAAGGCTTCCATTTCTTAATTTATACATGACAAGGTCCCACCCAGCTCTTAAATCTTGTAGGCCTGAGTGTAAATAAAGTTTGGGTCCAGTCTTATACCCATGCAAAGTTACCAAGTCCTAGAATGAAGGGTTTATATGCAAGAACAGAGAGAAAAACATAGTGAAGACTGAGTTGGTTCTACCCAGTGGTACATAGGAGCCCACAGGAAGTGTAGATGGAATATTAATATGTTCCATGGCAGGCCATTACCCAGGGAGCACAGAGCTCTTTGCTCTGCTATGGTTTCTAGAGTATCCTACAAGACAATTGAGCTGTACCTTAAATCTAAATTTGTGAACACAGTTTTCAAAGGTGTCCTAAAATAAGGACAGTCTCACTATTTTCAGAAAATGCAGTGGTATTTGATATGTATTATTTGAAAAGGAAATGCCTTTTTTTAAACTTTTTATTTTGATAGGAAGACAATATGAGATCTACCCTCTTAAAGATCTTGAAGTGTACAATACAGTATTACTTTCTATTGGTATGAATTTGACATTAGATCTCGAGAACTTATTCAGCTTCCATAACTGAAATTGTATACATGTTGATTATCAACTCTCCTTCCCCCCGCCCCCCCAATCCCTGACAACCACCATTCTATTATTTCTTTCAATGAATTTGACTATTTTAGAGATCTCATATAAATGGAATCATGTGGAATTTGTTCTTTTGTGACAGCTTATTTCACTTGGCATATTACCAGGTGACCCAGCTATCTTACTTCTGGATATTTATCCTAAAGAATTGAAATCAGAATCTCAAAGAGATATCTGTACTTCATGTTCACTGCAGTACTATTTACAATAACCAAGATGTGGAAGCAAACTAACTGTCCATCAGCAAATGAATAAAGAAAATATGGTGTGTACGTACAATGGGAGAGGAATCGCCCTTTAAAAAGCAGGAAATCCTGCAATATGTGACAACATGAATGATCCCTGAATGTCCTTCCTGAAAGTTGGTGCAAATGATCACTAATGATCACTTGAACTTAGGTATTCTTTCTTAAACACATATACATGTTTTACAAATTACACTTATAAAAATATTTCAAAGAATTGCATCTAACCTCTCAAAATACTAAAACTTCTCAGACTGGTCTGTGAGTTCCATTCTGTGTATATTTAATGTGAGATGAGCACTAAATGAAGATTGCATGTTACTTAAATAAATATCGCTGCTATCTATGAAATTTGACTAACTTTTAAATCAAGTGAGGTGGAGTCATGCACAGTAACATAAGTAGGAATTTATGAAATAAAAGACCCAATATGGTGTAAAATTATTGTAAGGAATTTTATATCAAATTAAAAATTACATTTTTATTGATTTCAGAGAGTTAAAGGAGAGGGAGAGATAGAAACATCAGTGATGAGAGAGAATCATTGATTGGCTGCCTCCTGCTTGCCCCCTACTGAGGATTGAGCTAGCAATTCAAGCATGTGCCCTGACTAGGAATCAAATCATGACTTCCTGGTTCATAGGTCGGCACTCAACCACTGAGCCACACTGGCTGTTCGGAATTTTATATCAAGTTTAAACGGAACATACCTATTACCTGTATGCTTTTACACATAAACACAAACTTTCTGTGGATAAAGATCTTCAGAGTTGGATAAAGCCTTACATATTACATCGGGCAATTCTCTCTTTCAGTAAAGGCATAGAAGGTTCAGAGGGGGGAGAAAGCTGATTAAGGGCCAACTCGGGCCAAGACGTAGGCCTGTGCAGTGTTCTTTCTAGCACACACACAGTGCCTCCATTAGTCACTTCATGACATTTATAAAATTCAGTGTATTAACTTATTAAATCTGTTTTTATCTTACTGTCAAATTCTTTTTTTAAACCATGTTTTAAAAATTAACATGGTATGTGCTTAGCCATCTAAGATTTCTTAAACATTTATTCTGTTTCTGCTTTAAGGGAAATATTCTATTTTTCTTAAATTTGCAAAAATTCATTGTAGTCTTCACTCTGACACATTTTTTAAATAGTTTGGAATCAAAGTTTGGTTGTACAAACACATATACTTAAATTTGCACGAAAAAGTCATACTTAATGTGTGGCCAGAGGGGGCAGGGGGGAGGCGGGTAGGGGCACAAATAGTTACAGTAGTAGTTTTCAAGGTATGTGCCCGTAAAGGTCTATATTTTAGCCCAGATTCAGACACCTTGCTTAGATCTCTCTGTAAGAATCCAGTGAAGCATTACCCTATGCTACCGAGGAGTAATATGTGCCATCCATATGATTAGGTATGGAATCTGCAATGAAATCTCTTAGCTAGGAAATACCTTAACATGGATGATAC